AGCTATACAGAGAAACTCTGTCTGGAAAAACCAAAAAAAAAAAAAAAAAAAAAACAACCAAAAAACTAGATGAGGAAAAATAGGTACTTTTTTGAGTATTGAAGACTGAACTCAGGTAGTCACCCCTGAGCCACACCCAGTCCAAAAATTTTCTTATAAAAGAACTGGAATCAGGCATGGTGGCACACACCTTTAATCACAGCAGAGACAGGTGGATCTCTGTGAGTTCCAGGACAGCCAGGACTATATAGACAGTCCTGTCTCAAAAAGATAAAGCTAGCGGAGGGAGCTGAAATAAAGGCCAAGCTCAAAATGAAAAATAAAGAAAAATATTGCAGTGGTTCTATAATAACTACATTTTAATTACTTTAGATGCCTAAGCTAAACCATCACATAATCTATTTGTGTAAGTGAATGGGAATACATACACAATTGCTCAGATAGTATATCTACTACTCAGGATCGGCTACTACCACTAAATTGTGTTAATGGCAACATCTTCATCACCAAATGAGAATCTATATGATAAATTTTTACTACTTAAGCAGAAAAGTATTTGAAATGCAGCCATACAGATGATAGGAAAATGAAGTTCATTTTCAAAGACTGGACCATGAAATCCTGGGCCAGAACATCTACGGTCAGCTATATGGTCACTATAGACCTCTAGCAAAACTCTCATAAATAAATAACAGTTCATATATAAAAGTTTTATAGTAAAAACACTGAAGCTGTTGATAAAGTATGCAAGAAAAAATTACAAAAATGTCACATCTTTATATCTCATTATATGAGCATCTCTGGGCAGTGACTATCATTATCAGGGAAATAATTAAAGAAATAAGGAAGTGTGTATCCTTTATGATCTCCTTTTACAGATGGATTAGAGAACAGAGAATATGTCAAGTTTTTGGGGTTTTGTTTGTTTGTTTGTTTGTTTGTTTGTTTGTTTTTGGAATGTCTGTTGAGTGAGTGAGTAAATGAACTGTCCAGGGCTGTCAGTCCATTCCCTATCATAGTGAGGCAATAACACATGTAGCTGTGTAAGTACTTAGACCAAGCAGAACCTAAAGATAGATAATCAAGTTAAGAATACTGACAAAACAATTAAAATATCCAGCTAAACATACACAACGAAAAACTTGAATTTCCTTCTTGCCTGTTATGTGTCCTGGACTTGAGGGATTGGTCGCAGATGGATGAGAGCAGTAACACTAGTGTAAATAAATGATCATAGACAAGTTTCCCAATCCTGAGCTTTAATCGTGATTTCATTCAAATATGAAATGAACGACAGTTCATGTTTTCAATGATAATATTCTTTATAATAAATATACCAAGTGATAAAATTTTACTTAAGTCAAAGTTCTTTTTTTTTTGGGGGGAGGGGGGGTTGGGTTTTTTGAGACAGGGTTTCTCTATGTAGCTTTGCGCCTTTCCTGGAACTCGATTTGGAGACCAGGCTGGCCTCGGACTCACAGAGATCCGCCTGCCTCTGCCTCCCGAGTGCTGTGATTAAAGGTGTGCACCACTGCCCAGCATAAGTCAAAGTTCTTTAAAAGTAATTTTGACAACTTTAAAAATCTTGTTTGGTTTTTTTTTTGACACAGGTAGTCCTGGCTGGCCTGGAACTCTCTATGGAGACCATGCTGACCTCCAACTCAAGGAGATATGCTTGTCTCTGACTCTTAAATGCTGGAATTAAAAGCATGTGCTACTAGGGGCTGGAGAAATGGCTCCGAGATTAATTTTGTGGAATATTAGTTTAAGATGTGTTGTATTTGTTTATGCTGTGGAATTTGTTTAGTGATGCAAAGATGTGCTGCATTTTTATGTTGCATTTAACTCTGTGAAGCTTTGTTACTATGCCTGTCTAAAACACATAACTGGTCTAATAAAGAGCTGAACGGCCAATCACTAAGCAGGAGAGGGATAGGTAGGGCTGCAGGCAGAGAGAATGAATAAAACAGAGAGAGGAACAAGGAAAGGAGAAGAGGACAACAGAGGCTAGCCACACAGCCAGCAACAGAGTAAGAAGGAAAGAGAGGTATATAGAATTGAGAAAGGTAAAAAAGGCCCAGAGGCAAAAGGTATACAGGATAATTTAAATTAAGAAAAGCGGACAAGAAACAAGCCAATCTAAGGTTGAGCATTCATAACTGTATTTATCTGGGAGCTGGGTGGTGTGCCCCCAAAGGGGAAAGAGTTAAAAAAACAAAACAAAACCAAAAAACCCCCACCAACTCTAGTTAAGAGTACTCGCTGCTCTACTGCTCGTCCAGAGGTCCTTAGTTCAATTTCCAGCACCGACATGGTGGCTCACAACCATCTATAACAGGATCTGATGCCTTCTTCTGGCATACATTTGTACATGTGAACAGAACACTCATATATTAAGAAAAAAAAAAAGCTATAAATAAAATCATGTTCTATCATGACTGGTTAAGTTCTTAGTAATTTCTACTATGTTTCTTTGCATTCACTTTAAAATTTCTTCTTGAATAAAACTGTTCTGGACAAATCTGCTACCACTACCAAACAAAGGAAGAAGATAATTGAAAAGCTGCAGATATTTTTTTCTTTTCAGAACATACTCTCATATTTCTAATTAAAATTTAACCAGGCATACTGGCTCATGCCTATAATTCAAGCACTCAGGAGACTGAGGCAGGAGGCATGCCATGAATTCAAGGCTGGCCTGGATTATACATATTGAGTTCCTGGCTAGCCTGGGTTATAGTAAAGCATCTCAAAAAACCAAAACCAACCAGCTAAACAAACAACAATTCAAATATTATCTAAGTACTATTTGGCTTATGGCCCAACTAGACATTTGTTTTCTATTATACTGAACTAATAATTCTATTCTTCTATTCCAGGAATTTTTTTCTGAGGTTAAAATAATTAATAAAAATTGAAGAAAATTCATCACATACACATGCATTATTTTTACAATTATTTGATGGTTGTGTGTAGGGAACATGTATGTGGGCACGTGTGTGTCATGGTGTGGGTGTTTGGAGGTCAGGACAACTATGTAGAGCCAGTTCTCTTTGGGTTCTGGGAATAAACCTTTACCCACGAAATTCAGTCAGTCTTCACACATTACTAAATAAAATGAGTACCTTCACTGTCGGAAAGCCTTGCTGTGTTCTGTCTTTTACTGAGCCTCGGCTGCCCTCTGTCAGGTACCGAGCTCGGTGCTGGGTTTCAGGCTGTACAACTATCTTCAGTTCCTTCCCCTCACTTTTAACCGGATACTGTCCACACAACATAGGGCTCTTCTTTACTCCAGTTCCCTTTTGGTTGTCCAATGTTCTGAGAAAACCAAAGCACAACATGGGAAGAAAACATCAAAAACAGTTTTCTATAAAAGCTACTTCGATAAAGGAAGAAACAGAAAGACGAAAACACTGAAAATAACCGCTTAGATGATTGATAAAATAGAACACAGCCTAGAGGAAGAAACACCCTATATAACCAAAGTATCTTTAAAATATTTTTGAACCAAGTATAACTATATGCCATGAAAAAGAAAGCTGGACAGGGAAAAGAAAAAAAATAGTTGGGTGGAAGAAGGAAAACAATGCCATAATTTATGAAGTTTTCAAACTGCAATTCAGTTAAAATAAAATGTAAAAATCACATGAGTCTTATATAAAGCTAAAAGACCATGATCACATTTTAATCAGATTTGCAAAGCAAAAGACAAAAAGAGAATGGCAAGAACTACTTACTAAGCCAGCACACAAAAGGCCTAAAGATCCAACAATGGAAGTATATGTAGTATATATCCTTTTGGATTTCTTTCTCAGTAAATCAAAGTAAGAAATTTATAATAAAAAAAAAAATCAGTGGCTCGATTTTTATTGGGAAATGAAGTTTATTTTAAATAATAAGTGTGATTTTTTTTTCCAGATTATTTTTATCTGTGACTGGTTAAATGAAAAAAGCTCATTAAAAATCTTATAATCTGAGCTCTATAGTAAAGGTAATTATACTTAGTTTTTTGAACTGTGGAAGCTTTTGAGTTTTTTGGAGACAGGGTCTCATATACCCCAGGCAGTCTTCAAGCTGCTGTCTAGCTGAGGATGGCCTTATAGTGTCACCCCACCTACCTCAGCACATGCCTGGCTCTAAGACTATGTTTTAAGCATTTGTTGATAATATAATATAATATCCAAAATTGTGATTAGAACTTCTATAAAATAGCTAATGTAATACAAATACCTGATGAAAATAAGCAGAATAAAATCATACACACCCCCTTGAACAACATGAAATATTTAAAATTACCCATTTTTGTTCTTGAAAAGTCAGGCCTATCATGCTTTTTTACTCACAACAAAGTAACTGGATCCTTGGAAGAATATCATGATTTTCAGAAGAACAGCTTTAAACCTGGCTCTAAACTTTACCAATACAGATGTAACCAAGCTGTTGCCGCAATAAAAACAACTCCATAGAAAAGGGCCAGAAGTATGGAGGAAAGGCTAACACTGACACATAATTCAGTAGCACTGACAGGGCAAATTCACACGAGATGTTTGCTGATGAAGGCAAACAGGAAGAAGAGAAAAAAGACAAGGAAAGCAAAGAGGAAAAGGAGCTTCTATATGCCATTTAAAATGCCCTAATGCCATTTACCTAAGTCTGACACGATTAAGTCAAAGATTACCTGTATGTGTGAGTCATTTTAAAGGCCCTAGAGTAATGAGTCTATGAATAAAAGTACCAGGCTGAAGCTGGAACAATTTGTGACAAATAATGTGTTTATTTGTTTTTTTAGAGTTCTGAGTAAATCCAAATGTTTGAAGAGTGTACAATTTATTAAACATGAGATTCTATAATGATCTCTTTGTATTCATCTTATTACCAAAGGGGGGGAAAAGATATTTTGAAACTATGCAAAAACATCTCTACACAGTAACTAAAATAAATTATAGCAGAATGGTAATAGCAGTTTACTTGAGTGACTAGATTATGGGTTATTTACTTACTTTCTTGTATTTTTCAAATACTTATAGTTCATATGTATTAGTCATAATAGAAAATGAAAAATTTTAGATTGAAGTACTAAGAAAACTTGAATGATATGACAACTAATTTTGTCAGGTGTGTTTTTTATATTTATACTAATTAAGCTAGCATTTTGAAAGTAAATGAAAATGATTTCTATAAAACAAGTATCTTGTTTGGAATGAACATCTGTTGAATGAGTTGATATATATCCAAAAAAATATATATTTGATACATATATCAGATACATATATCAGATATATGTATCAAATATATATTTATATACACACACTAAAAAGATCACAAAGAATTAAATAATTTCTAAAATACTGAAAATAGTTCTGCTTTATTTTATTTTTTTTTAAGAGAGCACTCTTACCACACAGCTCAAATGACCTTGAACTCACTATAAGCCAGGCTTGTCAACCTCTCACAAGCCCATGGCCTCAGCCTCCCATGTGCTGAGCTTACACAAATTTACCACCTACCATGCCTGTTCTTGCAACTATATTCTAAAATTCCCTAGGTTTAAATGTAAAAATGGAAAACATGTATATTTACATCTACAGACATGTAAAGCAATGAAAACATCAACTAATTCTTAGAAAAGTAGCAATTCAATTTATAAATTGTTAAGGTAAAACAGTTTAGAAAAAGGAAGCAAGTAGCAATTTATTACATGGGGAGTGGTTGATTGATTTTTGCAGGGCTGGGCATCAAAGCCAGCCAGGGCTTTCCTCATTTTAGGAAGGGACTCCATCACTGGAGTCTTTCATCTAAATGACAACTACCATAGACAATGTGATGTGGCATGTTCTACTTAGAATGACATTCAGGTTCTGTGCTAGATATTCCTTGAGGTTGTCTATGTCATCAAAATATTTTTTACTACAAAAAGGCCTCATATGACTTTCATATCCACATGATATCACATCTAAACTTATAGAACTTTAGAAGAAACAGGGCTGCTAAGTCTCAGGACATTAGCTGAAGAATTTAAGAATGATACAGTCAGCAATATTTACATATAAGCAGCTTTTTAAAAAAGATGTTTCTTTAATAAGCTCTAACTTTTTAGTTGTAAAAGTAACTGTTTTTCTGTCCATCAGTTATCAAGACTTCTGGCATCATGAAGATAAATGAACTGCTATATGCAACACACTCGAAAGTTCATTTAATAAATATTTAGCATTATATAAACTTCAAATTATGTCACCTCATATTGAAGACTATATTACTTATCTCTCAAAACATTCAAAATTTCATGTTTCTAACATCTTTCTCATCATTGGAAAAAAAAACAGGCAATTAGCTAGAACTACAGATTAAGAACAGTTGTCCATGTATTTTACATTTGGTTTCATCCTTTCCTCAATGTATTTCTCATAAATTCAAATTTTAAACTTCTTCATCATTTCCATATACTATTGTCAAATAATTTTCCATTACCTAAGAAGATGGGCATTTCTTCTGCTGCTTGATGGAGTTTCTGCTTCATGAATTATTTCATGAAAGTTTTGTCTTGACCAATGTCATTATACTTTCCCTGGTAACCTCAAATCATTTCTAAGATATATCTATCATACAAAAGCAGAAGCAGAAAAGATGTAGGTCAAGAAATCTTTTCAATCAGCAACAGTAAATCACTGTTTGACTTTGACTATCCCTAAGTCAAAACTTTACTGTTCTTAACTGGAAACTTTAATAATTATTTCAGTACAAATAGAAAAATATTTTCCTCTGAAACTTTATTAAGACCTTTTCCACCGCAGCCCAAAAAGCACACATTTATTGACATCCACACACCTTTCAGATCTGTTCTATCAGTCACACTTCCTTAGAGGACTTGGGGTGTTCACTGTGTTTCAGAGCCTTAACCTACATTTTATAGTTGAATAAAATATTCCTTTTTCAATTTCTGGACTATTAAACTGTGACATATTAGGAAAGGCTGTATGCCATGTTTTCTTTTGGAAATTGCCTAATGTAGACTTTTTGAAACTGTAAAGCATTTAAATTATTTAACTATATCATTCTAAAGGAATTTATTTATTTATTTAAATAAAAGTATAAAGGAAAAAAAGGCTAAATTTTTTCAAATTATTTTTTAGGTTAGAATATAAGGAAATGAGTTTCATTATGGGATTTCAAACTTGTGAGTACAGACTTAACTAATTCTTGCTTAAATGACTGCTACTAATTTTAAAATGTACACAGGGGATCATTTACAGACATATTTAATATTTATTATGGCAAATATATTACTGAGTTGGATTTTTAATGTAACAGATCAAAGATGTCATCATGGAGTACACCAATCTATGCTTTTTTTGGGGGCAACAAGTGGGAATTGCAAGTGATCCTGGGTTACCTAAAGAACCATATTCTACCTCCTTAAAAACTAATTCTCAAAATCTAATGAGTTAAATTTTACTGAATATACTGTAGAAAATTTACTTTCAAAAGTCCAGCAACTAAATATTACAATTAAAATACTAAAGGAATCCTAAAGTAAATCACGTTAATCTGTATTATAGCATGGAATATTCTATAACATAACCATTGAAATGGATTTGGTGAGTAGTATACCAAGGGCACAGATGGAACAGAAAACTTGAATATGCACCCATGATCCTGTTTCATCATTCTTCAAGTAAGAAACAGAATCGGGGGTTGGGGGTGGGGGATAAAAAGAGTAACAATTTTTTAAAAAATTCCTAAACTGGAACTATGTATCAAAGGAAAAAAATATTCAAACAAAGGAACCTATATGAGAATAGAGTCATCTTTGTTTTTTTCTTGTTTTCATCAAGTAAAGATGAAAAACAAAAATAAAACATAAAATTCTTTAAAAAAAAATATAATGGAATGAACCATATGAAATAAACTGCTACAAGAACAAATTAACTTCTGGAGAACATTTAAGTGTTTTAGCTAGCATCACCACACTATTACTTATTTCTGCAGGTAAATATATTTTTAAATCCTTTTAAAATAAGTCCATTTGAAGTTTAAAAGTTATTTCAAAACAGATTATCTTTTCTACTACACCTACTACTAAACATACCCATAATAAAATTCATTTGCTATAATCTACTGCTATTTTAAAATTATTTTTCTAGTAAAATTTGATTTTAAGTTGAAAATTTCATGTACTTCAAGGATAAAATTAGCATTTTTGCTTTATATGCAAATTTGAACTGAGAATTAAGAAAATTTGGGAATGATTTACGTTTTTGCTTTGCATAATGGTGATAGAACTTTAAAAAATGTGGATACCAACCCATTTCCAGCTTTTGAGTTGCCTTTGTTGTCCGTGGTAAGCTGAGAAAGCACATAGTGAGGTGCTTTGGCACTGTCGGCATCAAATATATCCATATTAGATTCTTCACAATCTCGTCGTTTGACCCCCGGCCTCTGCTTTGGATTTCGTTTTCGTGATTTACGAGGTACCTCAGTGTTATCATTGTAGGAACTGGTGCTCATGTTACTGAAGTTGGAGGGGGAATCCTCCATCCACATACTGCAGCTCTGCTCAGATTCCAATCCACACCCCTCATCCTGGCAGGACATCCGACTGTTATCCAGCAAGTCCTCAGGTGGTGGTGAGATGTACAAAACTGTGTGCCTCTTCGGGGTTGATGGATGCTGCTGAACTGTGTTACCGGTTAACTGCTTTTCACTTACCCCTCTGTTACTTACCCCCACGGCTGAGGAGCAGCTCTCCACTTGCATAGCCTTGCTGTCGGTGACTGAGGTAGAATAAATGGTAGGGCTGGAAGAGGTGGTAAAGGAGCTGCAAGCACCGCCCATGGAGGAAGAGGAGGGAGCTGAAGAAGCATCTGCAGTGTACAATCCAAGAGTAAATACACTATACATGTTTTCACCTATGCTGGCTAGCAGTCCCAATGAAAATGTGATTTGTGAACTGATTTGTTTTCCCCAAAACAAATAATTGGAATTTGGTTAAGTTTTAGAATATAAATGCTTTAAGCAATACAAAGCCTAAGAAATACAATTTTTAAAAAATGCCCAAATAGCATTTTTACTTTTGTTATAATTGATAAATTTTTAAAAATCTAATTTAGTGTTTTAAGCTGTAAAGCAAGAATAAAGCTTTTATTGCCTCAGCTGAATGTTCTGTTGAATTTTAATCATTTAAAAGTAATACAGAAAACCCCAATATGAAATATATGTTTGTGGTCCACATTCAATGCCAATTAAATAATTCATTATAGAATTTGAAAAGTGGGACTGTGCTTAGCCACAAAATATTAAAATAAGTTTCTAACCTATGAAGCAGAGAACTACAGGTCATTTTTAATGCAGACACTCCCTGCTTCAGAGGCAAATCCTGGAATAAAAATATGAGAAAATAAATGAGAAAAGAGCTTCTGATTATTCCAGATACCAATTATAAAATGAAAAATAAATAGAGGAAAAAAAAGATAATCAACTGAACTGGAGGCAAAATGGAACTGGTACCATCACTATAACTCACTGTAAAATCCATGAGAATAGAGGTGAGAAAGGTTTAATGGGAACATGCTTGGTTGTAGAAGATAAACAGGCTGCTCACTGAGAATCTCAAAGTTGGAAACAGCACATCAAAATCATGAGTAATAAAAAACATCCATCCTTTAAGAATGAATAAAAAGCAGAAAAGGGTGGCTACTAGATGGACTTTTCTTATAAAGTCTTATGTGCTCAAAAATTAGTTTCTTTCTATTAGCTCTCTTTTTTAAAAAAGGCCTAATTGTGTATGGTAGTGAATAGCAAATCGTACTGTCTAAAGCCTAACAAAAAATTAAGCATGAAAATTTCTAGAACACAAGAATTCCTATAAAAATATCTCAAATCATTTATCAAGTATGCATTGCAAAATTTAAGTAAGTTTCTGCAGAACAGACTGTGTGTCAATTAGCAGTAGCACTGAGAACACTTCTACTCTAGCCCTAAAAAGCATAAACTCAGACATATTAACACTGCTTAGGCTGGAAGTTACCTTTAATTCAAATTACTAATTTATCGTGTACAAGATAAAATTGTACATATAAATAAAAATTGGTAATGTGCTTAAATTTAATTTGTGTCTACAACCATTTATGCCACAGTTTTAAAACTGCACAATAAAAATTCAAATGTAATGCACCATTATTTAAATGTACCATTATTGAAATCATTCATTGTCAATTATAGAGCTAAAATGTAAGAAAGTCAGTGTTTAGATAATAAAAAGCTGTGCTACTAAATTAATTGAACCCAATTGAAAGCATGTATCAAAACATGTAAATTACTTAAAAGAATGACAACCACCCCCGAATTTTTCATTGTTGTCAAGGCTGAAGTCATGTTAGCTATCTGTAATGTGATCTACGTAATGCCACACTCAAAAATTTTCTCCCAACTACCATAAGTCAAAGAACCTGAAGGAGTTGATGATACCAGTTCCACTTTTTAGTTTGTATCCTGTCAAATGCAGTAGCTGAAATTAGAAAATTCAGTCACTTTTAAACTGCATTCCAATTTAAAGAAAAATTTATCAATTTTGTATCATGCATTAATGCAATGTTTTCTTGGTAAATAAATATTCTTAAAGAACTGTAAAAACTACAAAATCTAGATGCTAATGTCAATGACAGTTAGGAGCCGATTTGTAGCCACTTTGGGTTTAAATACAGTTTTTTCTTTTCCTTTGGAAAATACTATGGTGCTCATTTTGGACCAAATAGAAAAGATATATCTAATGTTACTTCATCTGTTCCAACTATTGGCTATAATGAAACTAAAATCCGTGTTTGTGTGTGTCTATATTCTTGACTTTCAGAGAAATTCTTTAACAGCATGCATTATTTGCAGTGGATCACACAAAGCATGTAGCATGAATGCTGTGAACTTGTATTTTTCTAAAGCACTTACTCCTGCCCTCCTTTCTGAGTCTATCATGCACACAAGAATGCAGAATACGAGCATCTCAAAGATCCCTGCCAAGGACAGAGGGAAAGTATATGTGCAAGGCCATAATGAAGTCAACTGCCAATTATATAGTTCTGATATTCTGATATATGTGTTTTGTTTTTTGATCCAGGGTTCCTGGCTTACAGCTCCAGAAACCTCCTAAATTGAATAGAGCAATAAGTATCTGTGGTTAAAATTTTGGCCTTTTGCTTCAGAATGATAAAGATGGGTTTTTTGTTGTTGTTGTTTTGTTTTTTAAACAGTGTCTCTCTTGTTTTCTGGTTTTAATTTATAACAAGCATCTTTGAACCGCCTGAGACTGTATTAATAAGGTGGCTTGGGGGAAGTTGCTAAATAACACAAGATGGGAGGAGGGGCTGGGTGCCACAAGAATAAATTATGTCCTCAAGTCAAAGGGTTAGTGCTCACAGCCCCATCCTCCCACTTACAGAGCCTGGAGATTAGGGAAATAAACAACACCAGAAATTTAGTCAATCATATCTATATAATGAAGTCTCTTGAAAATTTTTTTCTATATAAAAATTAAAACAGACTTAATTCAGGTATCCAGGAAAGGGAACAAGAACACACCATGTTCCAAGAAAGAGGCACAGTCAAATTCCCACTGGAGACTGAGGCTTCTATCTTGTCCTATGCATCACCTCATTGGTGTATTCATTTCTGTGCTTTAAAATACTCTTTTTAAGATTTATTTATTTATTATGTATACAGTGTTCTGCCTGCACATATGCCTGCATGCCTGAAGAGGGCACCAGATCCCATTAAAGATGGTTGTGAGCCACCATGTGGTTGCTGGGAATTGAACTCAGGACCCCTGAAAGAGCATACAGTGCTCCCAACCTCTGAGCCATCTCTCCAGCCCCCTAAAATACTCTTTGTAATGAATTAGAAAATGTGTTTCCTGAGTTCTCTTGAGTTGCTGTACTAGAAAATTAATTGAATTCAAAAAGGGGGTTAATGGAAAGTTCAATTATAAGCAGTCAGATGAATACTGAATTCTATTAAGTTAAACTGGCAAACAAGCTGGGTTGGAGATTTAAAAAGGATTTAGTATTTAAAATGCAAAATCCTTAGATTGTATAGGTACAGGAGCAGTACCTGATACAGGTAAACTACTGAGAGTTTAGAGATAACTATTTGCCCTTTACCTAGAGAGTACTACACCAGTCTTCCCTAAAAATATAATGAAATTACTTATATATTACTTATTTACATGTTAACCCTAAATTTACTATGAAAAAAATTTCTTAATATTATTTCATTAAAATATAAAGATAAAAACAATGATAACAAGGACATTTTAGATTGCTAAACACTAACCTGTCAATTTCAAGCATTACTAGAACAGTAATACAGAATATTTCTGGGAATACTATAAATATTCTTAAGTTACCTTTAAAGACCTTTCAGGCAATGATATAATCATTCAAAAACTTAATTGGCATTCTATAGAACTGAAGTGATAAGAAAATTCTGCTTGTTTATACATGCATATTTTTTTCCATTTTGTTTTTTTCATTTTGGGGGGCATGATTTGTTTGAAGCAGAGTCTTACTATGTATCTCTGGCTGGCCTGGAACTCAGAGACCTGCCTGCTCCTGCCTTTTCAGTGCTGGGATTAAAGGAATGTCACCGCACTCAGCTGTTTTGTTTTTTTTTTTTTTTTGAGGCAGGCTATGTAGCCCATGTGGGCCTTATATTCACAGCACTCTTCTTGCTGCATCCTCCTGAGTGCTGAGATTGCAGGTGTGCACTACCATCCTGGCCTTGTATATCATTCTTATTTGTAAGTTCCTATGAACAGAATATGGTAACTACTTCCCTGACCTGTTTTTAGTACAAAGACCGTATTTTTATGTTAGGAATGTTCAGTCTTTGTTAAATAGCTGCTTATTAAAAATACAGAACCCCCCCAAAATGTTTTAATAAATGCTTTTATCTCTTTTTAAAATGATTTATTTTTGCTGTGTTGGTTTTATGTGTACAGGTGTTTTGCCTGTCTGAATGAAATTGTACCATGTGCTTGCAGTGCCCACAGAGGTCAGAGGAGGGCACTAGGTTGCGTCAGACTGTAGTTATAGACTGTTGTGAGCCACCATGTGAGTGCTTAGGACTCAAACCCTGGTTCCCAGAAAAGCACTCTGCTTTTATTGTCTTATAGAGCAAAATAGTTACAATATATTTCCATGAATAATTATACAATTTTATTTGTTCCTTCAGTTGCTTACCCATCTTTTATAACCATGGAAGTTTTTTCTAAACTTATTTACTCATCTAAGTAGTATGTGAATACATCTTTATTTTCTTTTGTGAAATAACTGTTTTTGAACTTAGCTTAATTTATATAAGCTAACTATTTTTCCATAAAACTTTCTGTGACCACAGAGACTATCACAAATAGGAAATATCCAGAGAAAAACTGATAATCTACAACTTATTAGTAAAAATTTATTACCTGAGAAGAATATATTAATTTTAAATTTTAAAAATGAAGGGAATCAGCCAGGCGGTGGTGGCACACGCCTTTAATCCCAGCACTTGGGAGGCAGAGGCAGGTGAATCTATGTGAGTTCGAGGCTAGCCTGGTCTACAAAGCCAGTTCCAGAACAGCCAGGGCTGTTACACAGAGAAACCCTGTTTCAAAAATCAAATAAATAAAATAAAATAAAGAAAATGAAGGGAACCTGGGTATAGTGGCACATGCTTTTAATTCCAGAACTTAGGAGGCAGAGACAGGTAAACCTCTGTGAGTACAAGGACAGCCAAGGCTATGCAGAATGACTCTGTCTCAAAAAAACAAAAAACAAACCAAACAAAAAAGGAAACATCAGCTGGCAGTGGTGGCACACACCTTTAATCCCAA